CAAATTTTCTACAAAATTTCGACAGCTATCAGTCGAATTTGCTAGCACATTTCGATAGTGTGCATTCTGTGTAATTTTTTTTTTTTAATTTATTTATTTATTAATTTTTTTTCTTTCCTATTTTTATTTGCTTGTGTTTATATTATGTATATTTATTTTTATTTGTGTGTTATTTTGCAGTGGAAGAACCACGTGAACCTCGTATACCTCCGACTGTCTCGAACCGTAAGAAGAGGAAGGAATTATACGATAAGGGCAAGGGCAAGGGCAAGGCAATCACGACCAAGAAAAAGACCACGACCAAGAAGAAGTCTGGAGAGGGTTCTTCCTCAACGAATCTGGTGCCGGCTCTACCTTCGACTGTAGACGTTGGTGATTCGAGCAACGAACCGGTCAGAGGTCCCGAGATACCGGAATTGTACACAAATTTTGATAAGCACATTGCTTATCATATTGTGAACGGAGGTCCAGAGCGCTCGGAGCGCGGCTCAGAATTTCGAATTCGAAATCACACAGGAACTTTGAAAGGTTGGGTGCCAGCGCCGTTTATTACAGAGGCAGTACAAAGAGCTGGATTAATGTCAGTTGTACAAGCATCGTACAACACTATGGACAGCCATCTACTTAGAGCCTTCATAGAGAGATGGCAGCCAGCTACCAACACATTTCATTTACCTGTTGGAGAGATGACCATCACACTTGATGATGTGAGTACGTTGGTCGGTTTGCCAGTTGTTGGGCGTACTGTATCTTGCGAGGGTTTGATCCGTAATTCCAAAACGAAGCCCAGTAGTTTGATGTTCGAGTTGGTAGGTGAGTACCCGGACGATGTAGACAAGAAGAAAGCAGTGAAGTTGGAATGGTTGAAGGCTAAATATAGCAAAGTGACCATGAGAGACAGTGCGGAGAAGAGGACATACGCCATTCGGGCGTATTTGTTATTTTTGCTGGGGTGTACTATACTGTGTGACAAGACCGGCAACATGGTAAGCGTGGAGTATCTAAATCTCGTCTCTGATTTGGATCGGATCGGCGAGTATGCTTGGGGCACTGCATGTCTTTGCCGGTTGTACGATGAGCTTTCGTCAGCGTCACAAAATTCAACGAACTCGATGGTTGTCTGGCCGACGCTCTTCCAATCATGGATTTACGAGCACTTTCCTTATTTGGCGGGTGGCACATTGAAGACGGAGTTCGAGGGGCCATTAGCGAGCCGATGGGAGCCTCAGTCAAAGACTACTTCAACGCCTGAACGAGCGACGTACTTGCGATCTCGATTAGATGATTTGATCCCCGATCAGGTAAAATACCAGTTTAATAATTGTTATTACTACTTAAGTAGGTTTCTAAATCTAATTTTTTATTTATTTTACTAGGTTTTATGGTCACCGTATACGACTATTCGTGATCGTTTCCCGATGCCAGATTCTGTTTGGTTTAGTGGGATGATATATTGCATGGACCACTTCGAGGCATATAATCCGAACAGAGTGTTGAGGCAGTTCAACCGGGTGCAAATTATTCCAGGTCCTGTATACATGTCAAAAGATATGTACAAAGCTCTAGTTAACAAAGGTCGATCAGTCCAGAACTCAATATTCGCTGCGTATGGCGAACGATTCTCTGATCGGTGGGAGGAGTATTGTCTGGACGAGGAGTCGAGGTCCGTTGAAGTTGAACTCGGGGAGGCGGACACTTCGCCGGACTACATGAATTGGTTCCGGGCCAGATGCATGTTACAACTCAGTAGGCATGGAGCCCATCCACCTCGAACCCAGGCGGATCGACCTCGACCACGTGAAGCTCGTCCAGGGGGTGGTACCGATAAGGAGGTCCAACTTTCACAAATTTTGGAGTTGGTGAAGGGTACACTTAGCGAGGTGCGGGGACTTGCGCCATCCGACGCTCATACGGTCATGTGGGGGACCCTAAATGATATTGTCAGATTGATCGAGCCAGATGCCCCACTTCCACCTCCATCGCGCTCGTCGGATGCCCCACCACCACCTCCAGCTAGCTCGATAGACCCACTTCCACCGCCATCGAGCTCGTCCGATGCCCCACAAGCAGTTGTGAAACGCGTGTTTATTAGGAAGAAAAAAACACAGGATTAGTCTTGTGTGTTTTAGGCTATTTAGTTGATGGATTTTGTTTAGTTTAGATGTATTTTTTTTTTTTCAGATGGATGTTGTTTGGTGGATTCTGTTTGATTTACATGTTTTTTTTTTTTTTAGTTTTATATGGATTTTGATTGTCTTAAATGGAATTATTTTGATAATTTGAAATTTTTAATTTTTTTGTCAAAAAACACTTAGAATATATTTTTTATATTACATTGCAATAGTTTTGGGGTTAATTTCACAAAAAAATAAAAAATTGGAATTTATGAAAAAACTTAAAAAATTGAAACAGATTAAATTCGACAGCTAGCTGTCGAATTTTGTATTAGACACAACAACCGACAGCTAGCTGTCGAATTTAATCTGTTTCAAATTTTTAAGTTTTTTCATAAATTCCAATTTTTCATTTTTTTGTCCAAAAACACTTAGAATATGTTTTTATGTTACATTGCAATAGTTTTGGGGTTAATTTCACAAAAACATTAAAAATTGGTATTTATCAAAAAAATTAAAAAATTGAAACAGATTAAATTCGACAGCTATGTTTCAGTTTTTTTTTTTTTTTTGATAAATTGAAATTTTTTTTGTCCAAAAACACTTAGAATATGTTTTTTATGTTACATTGCAATAGGTTTGGGGTTAATTTCACAAAAAAATTAAAAATTGGAATTTATGAAAAAAACTTAAAAAATTGAAATAGATTTAATTCGACAGCTAGCTGTCGACTGTGTCTCAAAATTCGACAGCTTGCTGTCGAATTTAATCTGTTTCAAATTTACTTTTTTTTGATAATTTGAATTTTTTTTTTGTCCAAAAACACTTAGAATATGTTTTTTATGTTACATTGCAATAGTTTTGGGGTTAATTTCACAAAAAAATTAAAAATTGAATTTATCAAAAAAATTAAATAATTGAAACAGATTAAATTCGACAGCAAAAAAATCACAAAAAAATTAAAAATTTATTTTTGATTTTACATTGCAATAGGTTTGGGGTTAATATCACAAAAAAATTAAAAATTGGAATTTATGAAAAAACTTACAAAATTGAAACAGATTAAATTCGACAGCTAGCTGTCGAATTTAATCTGTTTCAATTTTTATTTTATTTTTGATAATTTGAAATTTTTTTTTTTTTTGTCCAAAAACACTTAGAATATGTTTTTTATGTTATGTTGCAATAGTTTTGGGGTTAATTTCACAAAAAAAATTAAAAATTGGAATTTATCAAAAAAAAATTAAAAATTGGAATTTATCAAAAAAAAATAAAAAAAAAATAAAACACAACACTTAATAACATTGAAACTATCATCCGTAACTTTACATAGTTTTGTTCGGAGAACTATCACCATTTTCTGATATAGTAATAATCTCGAAACTCTCTCGCATGACAACATTTTGTCCTATTAGTTCTCGGAATGCTGTAATCCGACCATCTATTTCTGCAGGCTTCCAACCATCAGCTTTAGGATCATGGCCGACATCGGTACCAATAATCGGCGATAGGAGGTATTGGACAATTGTTGTTCAAGACAACATGCACGAAGTGACAGTTGTCGACGAATGCCATTATGTGTTCTTGTCTCTCTCTGAAAAGCATCGGATCGCTCGATAGAGGAAGGAACGTGAGACACTAATACTTGGATAAGTAGACAAGCACAATATTGTATGTTGAAGCAATTACATGGCCCATATTTGGAAAGGACATCCAATGGTCACGAGTGGCAGGAACATCCCAGTTACTCACAATAGTTTGCATGCTTCTAACGGTTTCTTCGCCACGGTACATGGCCGTGTAAATGGAAAAATTAGAAGTCAACTCCCGTAGCATGTCTTAGTACTCGACCCCATTCATCTTCTCCAAATCCCATCATAGAGGCAACTGCCCGAAATCCACAGTGGCCATCTTAATCGACATTGATGATTTCTCGAACATGCATACGAAATCGTGGATGGATCGTCTCAATGTACTTATTCTTGCCGATCAAACATGGTGGCAATCCCACATCTGCATCTTCAAATAATAGTTTGAACGACTCTTGCGTCGCTATAGTGCTTTTTCCTGACTCTTGAGTTGGTATAGTGTTAATAGAATCATTCGCGGGCACTCTTAATCTCTTCAGTACAGGTTGTTTGAAAGGTATAAGCTACACAAAATTACTTAGCACAATTATAAAATACAACAACTACAATGAAATGAGACGATAGTAGCGACATTTACCTTTGGAGAACAACTAGCTTGCTTCGATTTTTTTTTTCTTTGGCTCCACATACTCAAAATGTGATTTGTCACGAGTGCTTGATTTGTCTTTCTTATTTTTTGCCGGTCGACCTTTACTAACAACTTTTTCACTTGGCTCCGTAAGGTTAGTCTTCTCTGGGTGGGTAAAATGTCTCAAATGGTTGCGCAATTGAGTCTTTGCATCGAGATCGACACATTCAAAGAGCTTCTGGTATTCCGATAGTTCTTCGTCGATGGTTGGTAGGATGACTTCGTCTGTGGTCGCGACGGGCTCCATGCTCATGTGTTTCCAATCCGAGCCTATTAACTCAAGTGGGATAGGAAATTTGTTCACAACAACATACTCATGAAGTTCATGGCAACATGGTAGACCGTGAGTTGTTCGGATGGCGCAACTACAACCCATATCGCTCGGTTGCAATAGTTTCGCATTGTCCACCTCAACTTTGAGTAGTTGCAGAGCGAATTTTGAGATACTTCCACGAAGCTCATTGTATGTCAACATTTTGAAAGTGTGTTCGTAAGTATTTTTACTTACTTCAAAAGAAGCTTTGATGTCATTGTGTTGTTCGACAATTTGGTTGTGGACTTTCGTATACAAATCCACAAAGGTGCCAGTTGAATTATGCACATCCCTTTTCATTCGTCCGTGTGCCCCCTCCACCCTACTAGAAGTGTACGTTCCAAAATGAGTACACTTATCCACACCGATACAAGTCTCTCCTTGTACGGATCCAACCATGAATCAGCTACATATGCTATTGCCGGCGGATAACCGATAAATGTTCTTTTCATTGACTCCCAATCCTCATTGAACTCCTCTATAGTATTTCTTTCAATAAGAGCCGAAAAAGCCGACTGAAATTGCTTCCATTTGGTGATGTCCTTTGTGAACAATTTCTTACAATTGGCCAATATATTCTTGTTCACATGCCACCGACACAGCAAGTGATGACTCGATGGATACACATTGGTCACTGAATTTCATTAAAGAGTAATCTCGATCTGTTACAATGCAATTAGGCCGAGGACAACTTGTCATAGCCTCCTTCAAACAACGCAACGCCCATTCGAAATTTTCCGTCTTTTCGTGATCCAAGTATGCAAAGGCAATGGAGAACGTCATGTTGGTACAAGTAAAACCCACAATCTCAAGAAATGGGAGTCCGTAACGATTGGTCTTGTACGTGCAATCGATGACGAATACGTACGGATACGACAGTGCCAACTTAATGCATTTCGGGTGGATCCACAACAAGTCGGTAATCGCATTCAACTCGTTCCATCTATGGTAAGAGAGGTATTCATCTTTTTTCAACTTGACGAACAATAATTGCAATTGAGATCTCCCAGATAATTCACTGAAATTTAACTTAGAGATAGTATTGTAAACTGTCTTCATACCAGTTACATTAGATGGGTCCTTTTCCTTCAATAATCTTAGAATTGCCCTTGGTTTCACCATTGCTTTCTTCAAAGTGTGAACAAAGGAAGTCTGCTCCTTTGATAATCTTCCAGCATAAGAGTGTCCGTGCAAGTTTTCAAACAAGTTGTGGTTGTGAATACCACTATAAACATTCAATTTCCACTCAGCCTTTTCATCATCCTTGGGTTCTTTTGTCCCCTTCAATTTAAACGGACAATTGCATTTCTTCGAACCGGTGCTCCTTTCTCCCGGTCTTTGATCATCTTCACCGGGTACCTTCTTGCCAACATAAAGGCCCCCACGCTCACAACGAACAATCACATACGGTGTCCTACGTCCTCTATCCCCGTCACTCGAACCCGCAATCATTAACAACATTCCAATTCTTTTACATACTTCACGAACCCATGCCAATAAAGCTTCTTTTGTTGGGAATTTTTCTAACGTGGTAAATGAATGGGTGCAATCGATCTACACAAAAGTGGAGAAAATATTATACAAGTAAATTTGCAACAGGGAAAAAATCGACATCTAAGTGTCGAATTTGTCCCCTATTTTCGACACTTATGTGTCGAAAACATGAGAAAAATCGACACTTAGGTGTTGAAAATATGGGGCACATTCGACACTTAAGTGTCGAAAATAGGGAACAAATTCGACACTTAAGTGTCGAATTTGTCCCCTATTTTCGACACTTATGTGTCGAAAACATGAGAAAAATCGACACTTAGGTGTCGAAAATATGGGGCACATTCGACACTTAAGTGTCGAAAATAGGGAACAAATTCAACACTTAAGTGTCGAAAATAGTAGCAAAATTCGACGGGTAACTGTCGAATGTTACTACTAATTTCGACACTGAAGTGTCGAAAATTAGTAAAATATCAATTGTTATGTTGTTCGACACATACATGTCGAAAAATAAGCACATTTTCGACCTGTATGTGTCGAAAGTTGATGGCGAATTTAAAAAAAAAAAGAATCAAAATCGATGTTTTAGCTCAAAAAATACATGAATACATACCTTAATGGGTTCTCCTTGCTCGTAAACTACCATTTTATTGTCGTTTGACGGCATTTTGCAAGTTGTGTAAGGTTTTGATTTCTTTAGTTTTGAGGTTTTTTAGGAGGATTTTTGGGGGAGGGAGAAGAAGGAGGTGGAGGAGGTGAGGGGTTTGTGAGTGAGGAGGGAAATTATTTTTTAGGGTTTTTGATTATTTGGTATTTAAGAAAGAAAAATAGTATTTGTAATATTTTTTTGGTTTTAATTTTCATTAAGAGTATTAAAGTAATTTACCATTAATTATTTATTTTTTTATTTTTTTGATATTCAAGTAAGCAAAAGTTTGGATTTGTTATAGTGATCCCCAATAGAAAATATTAAAAAACCCGATTGGACCTCGGTGGAACAGGTCAATAGGCTATCCGGTTCTATGTCCGATCCGTTTTTCAAACATAAGTTTTCTCAAATAATCTCTCAAATATAATTGGAGTGTAAATTACAATTTCAAGAGAGTTTTATTGGACAATTATTATTATTATTATTATTATTATTATTATTATTATTATTATTATTATTATTATTATTATTATTATTATTATTATTATTATTATTATTATTATTATTATTATTATTATTATTATTATTATTATTATTATTATTATTATTATTATTATTATTATTATTATTATTATTATTATTATTATTATTATTATTATTATTATTATTATTATTATTATTATTACTATTATTATTATTATTAAAAAAAAAAGAATAAAATAATAATATCCGTAACCGAGAAGGATAAGTACTCTTTTCTGACCCTCCGATCAGATTAATCTGAGCCGTTCACTCATCACCGACTCTTCTATATATACCCATCCCCTCAAACTTTCGCTTGATTCTGTGTATCTATCGTTTCGTCTTCTTAGAGATTATATATGTATCGTATCGTCGTAGCTATGAAACCTGCGCAATTAATTCCATCCAATCAGCGGCTGTTATCCGTTGCATGTTTTTTTCTTTCTCTTTCGCTATATCGTCTGATTGTGGTCCTGATTTGATTTTATTTTGCCGGTCTGAAAATCGGACCGTCATGAATTCGCCCCCGTATCTTTCCGAAGCCGTTTGATTGTGATTCTGAATTGGTTTTCTTTTGGTGATTTTTTGATTCGGCTGGGTATTTCGGTATGCGATTATGTATGTATCGTCGTCGCTATGAAACCTGCGCAACTCACGCAATTCAATCAGCGGCGATTATCCGTCGGATGTTTTTTTTCCCTCTTTCGCGATACCGTCTGATTGTGATTCGGATTTGATGTCCTTTTTCCTCTTTCGTGATACCGTCTGATTGTGATTCGGATTTGCTTTTATTTGGGTTATTTTGCCGATCTGATTAATCGGATCGTCGTGGATTCGCCGGCGTATCTTTGCGAGGCCGTTTGATTGTGATTCGGGTTTGGTTTTCTGTTGGTGATTTTGATCCGGCATGGTACTAGGGTTTGCTAATCGGCTGATTCTTCGGCGAAGGTATGTTATATGACAATTTGTTGTTCTGTTCTTTTGGCTGATTCTAAGCAGTGTCTGGTAAACCTTCTCTCTGTTCTGCTGAGTAAAATGTTTTAATGTATCTTTTAAATCACTATTTGGTACTTTTTGTTTATGGTTTTAGGAAAGGTTTCATCTTTATTTTATGGAGCTAAGCTAATTGTGCAACTACAACGATTGATCTGATTTTACTAGAGCTTATGCACACCTGGATTATGTGGATAGGATCGCCAATTGCTTAAGCTAGAGATCTCGGTTGGATCTGACGACAGGAAGATAATTTATTTTGTGATATGATAATTAGCTTATCGATTTTTCTTTTGTTTCTGATTCTGTAATATGTTGATATATTCTTATACAATCATAATCCTTCTCATTCAATTTTCAGATTTCTTGTTTATATGACCATATGTTTTTAAGATTTCCTGTTCTTATTTGGATGATTTTGATACGGCATGTGGTATGATGTTTGGTCCTGTTCTTATTTTGTTTGAGTTTTGATTATGTTCTCTCTGTTCGGTTCGGTGTCTGATGGTCCTTTGATTTGGTTTTCTTATATGAGATGGCATAGACTTCGACGGATATAGTTAAAATATGATTTTTTTGTAGAAGACAGAGCTTCAAGTTTGAGTATTTTATCCTTATCCTGGTTTTGTTTTTATTTTGTCGTTAGAAGTTTGGTTACCATGTAAGATGTTTGCTTGCAATATGATACTCCTCGACCTTCGGCTGTTGCTTTGGACTGTGTTGTTCCACAGGTGTGGTAAGAAAGTGGAACTCAGCTCTGAGACAACCGTCAGTTCCATATATTGTTCTCTCTCTCTCTCTCTCTCTCTCTCTCTCTCTCTCTCTCTCTCTCTCTCTCTCTCTCTCTCTCTCTCTCTCTCTCTCTCTCTCTCTCATCCTCCTTATTTTGGACCCTTTGGACAGGATTACCTATTGGCTAAGCGGGAAGATAGGTTATTTTACCGCAGTCAGTACCTTTTTTTTGTGGCTTATGTCGTAGTTCCATTTTTACTCTCTACTTGCTTACAGTCTAATTATTGGGAGCCTATGTTATATGTTTCTTTTCTCTGCCTTACTGTCTAGGTCTTCTTTGAATTATTATTTATTTTGCAAGGTATTTAGGTCTTCTTTCAATGATAGCATCTCTTCCTTTAGGCTTAGAGTGACCTCCCGTGATATGATGCAAGTAAGGGCCACAAAATGCCCGTAGATGGTGAGCCTATCCACCACTATCCAAATAGCATCCTTTCTTCTAGACTTAAGAGTGACCTCGGTGATATGGCGCGAGTATGAGCCCGTACTTGGTGAGCCTATCCACCACTATCCAAATAGGATCCTTTCTTCTAGACTTAAGAGTGACCTCCGGTGATATGGCGCGAGTATGGGCCCGTACTTGGTGAGCCTATCCACCACTATCCATGTGGCATCCTTTCATCTAGACTTAAGAGTGACCAAGAGTGACCTCCGGTGATATGGCGCGAGTATGGGCCCGTACTTGGTGAGCCTATCCACCACTATCCATGTAGCATCCTAGACTTAAGAGTAACCTCCGGTGATATGGCGCGAGTATGGGCCCGTACTTGGTGAGCCTATCCACCACTATCCAAATAGCATCCTTTCCTTTAGACTTTAGAGTGACCTCCGGTGATATGGCGCGAGTATGGGCCCATACTTGGTGAGCCTATCCACCACTATCCAAATAGCATCATTTCTTCTAGACTTAAGAGTGACCTACGGTGATATGGCGCGAGTATGGGCCCGTACTTGGTGAGCCTATCTACCACCATCCAAATAGCATCCTTTCTTCTAGACTTAAGAGTGACCGCCGGTGATATGGCGCGAGTATGGGCCCGTACTTGGTGAGCCTATCCACCACTATCCAAGTAGCATCCTAGACTTAAGACTATCCTCCGGTGATATGGCGCGAGTATGGGCCCGCACTTGGTGAGCCTATCCACCACTATCCAAATAACATCCTTTCCTCTAGACTTTAGAGTGACCTTCGGTGATATGGCGCGAGTATGGGCCCGTACTTGGCGAGCCTATCCACAACTATCCAAATAGCATCCTTTCTTCTTGACTTAAGAGTGACCTCCGGTGATATGGCGCGAGTATGGGCCCGTACTTGGTGAGCCTATCCACCACTATCCAAGTAGCATCCTATACTTAAGAGTAACTTCCGGTGATATGGCGCGAGTATGGGCCCGTACTTGGTGAGCCTATCCACCCCTAACGAAATAGTAGCCTTTCTTCTAGACTTAAGAGTGACCTCCCGTGATATGGCGCGAGTAAGGGCCACAAAATGCCCGTATCCTATCCACCGCTATCCAAATAGCATCTTTTCTTCTAGACTTAGGCAGCCCCACAATGAAATCCATGGTGATGTAAGACTATGCCTTCAAATCTTCGTTCAGCCGTCCCAAAAAAGCCCTAATGTAATATTCTTCAGTTAAGTTTCTGTAAGATCCACCCATGTGTCTTCATGTATGGTATTCTTTAGTTTCTTGACATGGTTTTTTCCCAAAGTATTATTTCTTGCCTTAGATTTTGGGAGCAGTCGTGAAAGTGTTCGGATGTTATTTCTATCGGTTTTATTGTCATTGACTCACTCTGCAATGGAATTGGTTGTGATTTTAGTTGGTCAGATAATGCACTACTGGTGTGGAACGTGCTGCTTCTGCAGATCAAGTGAGTAGTTATTCTAAAGATCTCTCTATTTGCTTTATAAATCTTGAAGTGGTCTTATATGCATTGAGCTATTTTAGTCTATGAAGATTTTTCTAAAGATCAAGTGAGTAGTTCTTTGTCTTGGCAATTTTTCTACACATTCTTGAAGTTGGGACTATGCATCCCAGAATAGTAAACCTGGTTCAGTTGCCCGTGTTGGATTTCGCACTTGTAGGATTTGTTGATGTTATGATATATTTGTGGCTGCCGTTGGGGCCTCAGTTTCTGCTCGTATTTTGTGATTCTTATGAGGAGACTTTAGATTTGCTGCTCTGCTGTTTTGAGGATGTTTAAAATCAATTGAATATGCTTTGGAATACCATTCTGCAGTGTGCACAGTTCTTTGTCAGTTCATTGTGATTTGTACTACGTGGGAATTTTCTAGTGCGAGAAATTTTTATTTGCACATTGTAAGTTAATGTTTTTATCTAATACTGGTAATATGCTAAAGTGATGCATTTTTCAAGTCTCAATGAATTTATTTGATTAAGATTTAGTTTTGCGTAAATGTTTTAAGTATTAGTTGCCTTATGTGAAAATTTATTTCCTCTTGGACTTGTCCTCGGTACGACTTTGGTAATTTTTTACACATGAGGTTTTTCCTTCATCAGTAATGTTCACCACAATAATTAAAAGGAAATAAAAAAGGGAAATGAATGATTGAAACGTTACGAAAGTTTTGTTTAGTAACTAAGCTTTTAATAGTTGTTGTCTGGAATGGTATGTACAATTTCCTTGCTTATATCTATGTGTGGATTATGTGTGTGTTTTAGTGTTGGTAGTTGTATATATAGGTTTATTCTTGTAACTCCGCCTTTGCCTGCAATATTTTATTTGCTCAGCACAGCCGGTCCCAAGCCCGGGTAAAGGAGGAGGGGTTTTGAGGTTTTGGGGTTTGCTCGCCTCACAACCCAGTTGTTTTGGGGTTTTGGGATCTGAGGTTTAAGTCTTGTCTAAAGCATCTAATGCGATCAAGGCACATTTTGTTATTTATTTATTTCATAGGACTTCTGTTCCCTTTTGTGTGTTATAACCTTCTGATGTTTCATTTTGTCTTGTGCTTTCTGATCTGTCCTTGATTTTTATTCTCTACTTGAGACATAGGTTTACTTACCGTTTTGCATTTTAATGCTTCTTGTGTAATTGGAATCATCCAGGTTCAGACAATCTTCCTTCTTACTGTTGATTTTAGATATTTGTTTGTCTGATCACTATGTTTTTTTGGTTATGGGACTTGCTCGCCTTTAATTTGTTGTGTTTTATGGTTACCTTTGAAGATTCTCGTTCCTTAACTAAGTCTATTATATTATGGTCGTTTGGGTCAACACTTTGAAAGACTTTACACTATGGCCTGTTCTGTTCATGTGAATGGCTATTGACCCTGTTTACGTTTCTTGTTTATGCAGCAGATGAATCTGTCTCTGGTAATGAATGTGTTGATACGAAATATTAGTCTGAATTGCTTTCTGTGTTTTTAATGTTGATGACAATCTGTTTTTTGCTGCAAGTATGTGATTTCTGTCCTATTTCTGTCTAGACTGGTTTGATTAATTATTAATTATATCATGAAAGAGCTGTTTTCATTGCTCTATCAGATCACCCTTTGTTGGCCTTTGGAAATAAATTTTGATATCATTCCTATGTGTCGAGAATTTTGAACTCTTCTTTTACTTGTTGGTTATTAACTTTTTATCCTTGGGTGGTTCGCTTTTCCGGAGCTGTGATTTTGTATTTACTTTATTTTTCTTTGGCAGTCTTCAGTTAATCCCTATCATGAATTTCTCGATTCTAGGAGACATTTTTATCATATTAACTTGACTCGTGAACTTCACTACAAAATATGAGACCATGACTTGCAATAAGACCCCGCCTTGTGTCTTCATGTAAGGTGTTCTTTTGTTTATGCACAGAGTTTTGTTTCTTGCCTTAGATTTTGAAAGCGGTCGTAAAAGTGTTAGGATGTTATTTCTATCGGGTTTTCTGTTATTTTGCAACTGGAATTGTTTGTGCTTTTAGTTGGTCAGATAATGCGTGCGGAACCTGCTTCTTCTGCAGATCAAGTGACTAGTATAAATCTTGAAGTGGTCTTATATGCATTGTGCAAGTTAAGGTTTTTTTTCCTGGCAATTTTTCTAGGCAATCTAAGTTGGCACTATGCATCTCAGAATAATAAACCTCGTTCAGTTGTCAATTAGTATTTGAAGTTGACTGTTAGGGCCTTGGTTTCTGCTCGCATGTTGTGATTCTTGCAAGGAGATATATTACATTTGCTGCTCTGCTTTTTTTGAGGATGTTTAAAATCTATAGCGATTTCTACTACGTGGGAATTTCTAGTGCGTGAAATTGTCGTTTGCAGATTGTTATTTGATTAAGATTTGTTGAATGTGTAAATGTGCGAGTATCAGTTACCTTATTTAATAAAATTTATTTCCTCTTTGATTTATCTCCGAGACGACTTTGGTATTTCCTTTATCAGTTATGTAATGAAAAGAAAAAAAAGGGAAATCAATGATTGAAACGAGTACGGAAGTTTTTGCTAGTAACTAAGCTTTTTATAGCAAGTGTTTTGGTGACTTTTAGCTGCTTTGTGATTATGGGATACCCGGTTAATTAATTTACTTAGGCCTCGTTTGGTTGCCAAGATAAGATTAACTAACATAAAATTAAATAATCTAATGAAATCAAATTATATTATTGGACCTCCGATGATTCAATGAAAAACATGCCTAGAAGGTAATATAAACTATGATAACATAATATTTGCAGGTCGACCCGGCAAAGTTATTGGGGATACCAAACATGAAATAAAACCCAACTATTTCGTTAATAATGGCAAATCTACCCAACCAAACGATGTCTTATAAAATTGACCTATTTGTTTGTCAGTATTAAAACTCATAAAAACTATGGTATATGAATCAAGCTATTTCTCAGCCTTAAAATTTCTAGTCTATAGGCAACTTAGGCATGTGATTATGGTATTATAATTAGGGCCCCCAAAATTATGTTTACTATACTTAGGGCCCCAAATGCAAAATAAAATTTACATTTTCTTATATAATCTTCGAGGCCCCTTGATGGACTTATTTGTAAAGACCCCTTATAATTTAAGATAATCTTGGAGACGTGCTATTTTCACCCTTAACATATTTGATATGCATAATTGGGCCAACCCAATGGGCCTACAAATTGTTTACCAACTGGGCCACGAGCCCAATATCAAAGACCATTATCATCGAGGTCCAATCACCTTCAAGTAAGGTTTGGGCCCGACAATCTCAACTAAGCTATAAATAAAGGTTTGAACTCATTCTTTAAGGCACGTCCTATTAATTGAGCAATACTACAACATGTATTCTCTGGACCATTTTATACTATCAGCACGTCTGACTTGAGCGTCGGAGGGGTTTCCGCCGGATCAACCCCCGGCCTAGTTTACGTGTTCTGTGATCGCAGGTATCTCAAGGCCATCAAGCTCGTGAGCCAGTGATCCACTATGCTCTTCTATCTCATCCTACTTCAACTATCTAAGGTGATCTAACTTTAGCATCATCATTTTGGCGCCGTTTGTGGGAAGGCAAACACAATCACGTAGCGCACATGATGGCCTTGAGACATCTGCTCAGGGGAGTGTGACACTGCTAACAACCTCCCACCTCGTGGAGGCTCTGACTTGCCACTTCCTCCTCCCCATGGTCGGGATCCACACGAGACCCTCCTCGTGATGTCCCACTAGATCCTCAACAGGATCCCCTTCTTCCCGCCCCTCGATCGGTTCAGAGAACCGAGGAGGCCATTCAATGCAGCAAGGGTTATCGACTCCCTGGGGGTTTACAGTGCCCCCAAAACATTTCGCTCGCCAAGGGTTATCGACTCCCTGGGGGTTTACAGTGCCCCCAAAACATTTCGCTCGCCAAGGGTTATCGACTCCCTGGGGGTTTACAGTGTCCCCAAAACATTTCGCTCGCCAAGGGTTATTGACTCCCTGGGGGTTTACAGTGCCCCCAAAATATTTCGCTCGCCAAGGATTTTTGACTCCCTGGGGGCTTACATCTGCCCCCAAAACATTTCGCTCGCCAAGGGTTATCGACTCCCTGGGGGTTTATAGTGCCCCCAAAACATTTCGCTCGCCAAGGGTTATCGACTCCCTGGGGGCTTACATCTGCCCCCAAAATATTTCGTTCGCCAAGGGTTATCGACTCCCTGGGGGTTTACAATGCCCCCAAAAAGTTTCGTTCGCCATGGGTTATCGACTCCATGGGAACCTACCTCCACCCCCCCCCCCCCTCCAACGGTTAAGATAACCGAAGAGGACCTTCAGCATATGATCACCGAACCTTCAACAAGATCAACTTCTACTTGTTCCTCTAACGGTTCAGATAACCGATAAGGACCTTCAGCGTACGACCGCGAAAGTTTCAACTCGTGTTGCCACTGAAACAATGGCACAACCGTGCGCATCCACCTCAGACCATAGGTCTCGAACGCCTCATTCTAAAGTAGAGGGCTATCCCATCCCAAGGTTGGCATTACCCTTACCTTTCAACCCCAAGTGGGTGCACATCCCATCTCAAGACACGAGTATAATCACCATACTCAAAAAAATAGAACATCCCCAAAGGGGTGAACATCAACCACCTAAAAAGAAAAAGAAGAAGAAAAAAAAAAAAAAAGATGAAACAAGAAGAAGAAAAAAGATGAAACAAGAAGAAGAAAAAAGAAGAAGAAAAAAGAAGAAGAAAAAAAAGGAAGAAGAAAAAGAAGAAGAAAAAAAAAAAAGAAGAAAAAACAAGAAGAAGATGAAGAAAAAAGAAACAAGAAAAAGAAGAACAAGAAGAAAAAAGAAACAAGAAAAAAAAGATGAAGAAAAAAAAAAGAGAAAAGAAATCAAAAAGTAAGCCAAGCCAAGCCGCGTGCAACCTTCTCCTCGGGGCGCGCGCGTGTAAAAAAAAAAAAAAAAAAAAAAAAAAAAAAAAAAAAAAAGAAGGGGCGCGCGTGGCGAACACGCGACTCACGCGCGGGTCAGCCAAAAAAAAAAAGAGGCGCGCGTGTAGCGTACACGCGCCTGATGCGTGCGCGTGCACAGCACGCGCCCGTCAGCAGAAATATATATATATTTTTTTAAAGAGTAGCGCGTGTTCACGCGTGCGCGCCTTCCCAAGGCCACCTTGGACCGCGCGCTCCCATGAAATCGCGCGCAACTTTTACTACTCTCCACCAAATTGCGCGTAGATTTTGACTCGCTTCACCAAATCGCACGAGAATTCCAACGCGCTTCACCATATTGCGCGAGCTCTCCAACATCTCGCCAATTCGCGCGCAGTCTCAAACGGATACAAAAAAAATATTTTTTTCTCCACGCCACGTCTACAATTAACGGCACAACGATCTATTCTCGACACGATCCGGTACTCTTTTCAACTTGATTCCGACATCGAATCGAGAGTGGGGGGCTTGCGAGACAACTCCCACGAGGAGACAACTCGCTCGGTTCTACACAACCCATAGCGAGACAACTCCCACGAGGAGCCAACTCGCTCGGTCCTACAACCCATTTGCGAGATAACTCCCACGAGGAGATAACTCGCTCGGTACTACCAACCCGCAACGAGACAACTCCCACGAGGAGACAACTCGCTCGGTACTGCCAACCCGCAGTGAGATAACTCCCACGAGGAGCCAACTCGCTCGATCCTACAAACCCGTTGCGAGGCAACTCCCACGAGGATCCAACTCCCTCGGATCTACAATACCACAGCGAGACAACTCCCACGAGGAGACAACTCGCTCGGTACTGCCAACTCGCAGTGAGACAACTCCCACAGGAAGCCAACTCACTCGGAACTACAACCCGTAGTGAGACAACTCCCACGAGGAGATAACTCGCTCGGTCATATAACCCGTTGCGAGGCAACTCCCACGAGGAGCCAACTCCCTCGGATCTAAGAAACCACAGCGAGATAACTCCCACGAGGAGATCACTCGCTCCGTCCTACAACCCGCAGCGAGACAACTCCCACGAGGAGCCAACTCGCTCGGAACTACGAACCCGCAGCGAGACAACTCCCACGAGGAGCCAACTCGCTCGGTACCACAACCCGCAGCGAGACAACTCCCACGAGGAGCCAACTCGCTCGATCCTACAAACCCGTTGCGAGGAAAATCCCACGAGGAGCCAACTCCCTCGGATCTTCAATACCACAGCGAGATAACTCCCACGAGGAGCCAACTCGCTCGGCACTACAAATCCGTTGCAAGGCAACTCCCACGTGCAGCCACCTCGCTCGATAATAAGACTCGCTGGGAGACAACTCCCACGAGGAGACAAATCGCTCAGAACGACCTCAATCCGCACGCTCCTTAGTAGCGCGTCATCCAATGCTCCTACAACTTGGCTGCGAGACAACTCCCATGAGGAGACAACTCGCCCGAAATTCACTATATAATCGCAAGCTCAAGTTAGCACGATTACAACCCTAGAAACACTTAGAGATATTATGGGAATCTATATAGCCTGGCCAGCTTGATTACTCAAATTTATCTACTTGTTTTCGGTGGGTCATTCATTAAAACGTGGCCACGGTCAAAACAAACTTACGACCTACGAGGTCTAACAAGGGGCACGATCCCCGTAAAAAATCTTGAGAGCCTGATCCTCTCCTCAAGTACATCACGCACAAGGCTATATGTAAACACATACAAGCAACGCGTCACAACATTGACAATGTCGATAAATAACAACTCCCACGAGGAGAATACTCGCTCTGTGCTACTACATTATCGCGAGACAACTCCCACGAGGAGATAACTCGATCAATTCTATTACCCCGCGACGAGAAAACTCCCACGAGGAGATAACTTGATCCGAGCTACTACATCGTCGCGGAACAACACCGACGACTCAAGTAACTTACATTACGACAACTTGGTTGCGCTACGCGCCAACGCGCCTTCACGCCCCTCCGACACACGCTCCAATGCGTTTTCGCACACCATTAGGCCATACGCCAACGATCGACTTCTACAATTTTTACTCTCAACACGATCTGACACCCATTTCAACATGGCCCCCACATCGAATCGAGAGTGGGGCGCTTAATGATATGCATAATTGGGCCAACCCAATGGGCCTACAAATTGTTTACCTACTGGGCCACGAGCCCAATAACAAAGACCATTATCACCGAGGTCCAATCACCTTCAAGTAAGGTTTGGGCCCGACAATCTCAACTAAGCTATAAATAAAGGTTTGAACTCATTCTTTAAGGCACGTCCTATTAATTGAGCAA